CAATCGCTTAACACTATCTAGGAATCTCAGCGGAAAAAGGATGAAAACACCAACTGTGGTGATTGTTGTTGCCTATCCTGAATCCGGAACAAATCTGGGAACCTATTCCAATGTTGCAGAAACTGCCTCAGGGGTCTTTGTGCATATCCCCTATTCTGCACTCTCATGGACCAATCAGTGGCCACCATCTGTTTGATCGAGAACTTCACTTCCGCGCGAATCATTGGCGGAGTCGGTCTCTCCCCTTTCCTGACCGTCGAGTTCCGCAATGTCCACAGGGTCCAGAGGATGGCTCCCCTCAAGCACTCCTCTGGGTACGCAAGGGGGTCCTTCCCATTTGGTCTTCGGGTCACTGCACCCAGTAACACGTACTCGTCCCCCCATCTAGTGCCATGATGGGGGACAGGCACCGTTCCCGATCTCCACCATTCCCATAGTTGCCTTGAGAGCTCGTAGTGCAAACACGTGTTGCAAATCCTCAATCCTCATTCCTGAGCACATAATGCAGAGCGGGCTGGCCTTGGCTGTTCCTCTTGCACACCATTGTGCTGTCGGAACAGCCAAATGGGCCATGAGCCAAAGAAAGTCGGCATGTTTTACCACCGGCAGATCCATCAGCAATTTCCAGTAGCCCGAAAAACTTTGTGAGAGTCTGGGAAGAGAATCCTGAATCCATTGTGTCGACATCCATCTTTTGGCTACCACCCAATTGACATCCACCTTCTGATGTGTGAGGCGGTAGCCAAGCTTCGTTGTGTATTGATACAGCGGAACAGTCTTGTGCTGCCTTGTCTCATCTGGCCATCCCTAGTCTCTGGGGTCCAACGGTAACTGGTAAGAAGGCACTGCGAAGGCGAAAGGGCGCGCGTAATCTGAATAATCCAATACACAGACCGGTGTGAGGTCTGATTTTTGTTTTTTGTTTTTTGTTTTTTGTTTTAATGTTTTTTTTTATTTGTTAAATTTTAATTATTATTTTTAATTTACTTAATTTTATTTACTTGCTTAACATATTTATTAACCATACCTTTATTTATCTTGTTAATTAATTAATTTTGAATTTAATTTATTTATTACCTTATAATTTTAGATTCAGATAGCAAATTTATGTATGCGTGTGCAAATAAGTACCAGCGTGTGTGTGGGGTAGTGTGTGTGCGAATGTGATTGTTTGTGTTCCTGTGTCAAAAAGTGATGGTAGTTCTGGAGGGGTGGTCCAATGATGTTGGATGTACCTGGAAATGGGTGGGACCTTTCTCAGGTCCAGGTGTTATTATCGTAAGTTTAGATGTTTGATTATATAGGTGATAAGATTATATCTTGCTAATTTTGTTATCAATAGCTAGTGCTGGGAATCTGATTTTTTTAAGTATTGCAGTACGGTTTGGGGGTTGCATCGGAAAGGCTGGTAGTCTGGGCTATTATTTAGAACCTTATAAACGATTCCGAGTAGTCTGTGCTTTCTGAAACCATTCTTCTGAAGAATTTGAATGGCAAGTGTGATTTCTTTTGCAGCGTGTCGTGGTTCCATTTCAATGGTCATAATGGTGATAATCTGAGGTATAAGAATGTTAATCGATTGTTGCAGCGGTCTGTTAGAGTTGGCATGGATAAATCGTGTAATGGGAAAGCCCAGGTCTTTCCTTTTGTCGTACTTGTGTGTGACGAATTGACCAGTTTCCAGGTTTGTGATTGTTATTGTGGTATTCAGAAAGTTTCCTTGTGTTCCGAGAAGTCTGTCGTTTATTTGTGTTTTTCTCGTAGTCTGTTCATTTAACGTTATCAGGTGTAGGGGATAAAGGAAAATTTTAATGCGCGGACTAGTAATATCAGGGTTTAGGAATTCGTGAATCCTGGGGTTGTTCAAGATGTGGAAGTCGTCAAAATAACGGAAAACATGTTGAAACAGGTGCAGTAGGTTTCTGTTGTTTTTGTGTGTTATTTTCTTCATAAAGCAGTATTCATATTTGAAGAAATATATGTTACACCAGACAGGTGAACAACTGACACCCATGGGAATGCCCAGAATCTGTTTCCAGATGTTTCCTCCTAGAGATGTATAGGCATTATTGATTAACCAGTTGTTGATTTCTTGCACAATGTTCTCATTGATTATTAGATAGCCATTAGGTGGGTTTGTATACCAATCACAAAGCGCTGTCCATTTTCCTTTACTTTGGTACATTCTGCAAGCCAGCTGTACATTTCTCCCGTATGCTTTTCTAGCTTGTTTGAAGGTCAGTTTGCAAAAGAAGCGGATTGCAGCTGGCAGTCCGTCTTGGCTCTCATCTGTCGGGATGGTTTCGTAGCATCTAGTAATATCGGCAGAGAACACCGAGAAGACTTGGTTTGGTAGGTTGTATGTATAGTCCGAAGTTGAGTCTATAGGCCACCAGAATGGGACTCTGAGCCCAACTTCGGTTTGTGTCTTTTGTGTGAGTAAGCCACAGTGGTTTTTAACCATTTGGATTAGTGTAGCAAGGACAGCCGCAGTTAGATCAGCCAGAGGTGTCGTAATAACGTCTGCTGCGTTTGTTAGCCAGCGGAAGGAATTTTTGTGTTTTTTGTAGGTGGCAAAGAGATAAGGTATCTCTATTTTACCAATGGGGATGTCTGGGAATCTAGTTGTCAGTTGGAGTTTCATGCTGTCTAACAGTTCGGTAGCAGTTGTTGCGTATTGTTCAAAGTTTGGGTTGGAGAGCCTCTGTAGTGCAAGGAATCTTATCAGGTTTGCGCAGCAGATGACCGCCGTATTGGGAGCTTTGTCGGCTCCAGATATGTAGAAGTGTTTGGTTAGGAAGTTGATTTCACTTTTGATTGCATGGTCGTTTATGCTTGCTACCCTATGCGTTGTTACATTTTCGAGATTGCATTTGATTATTTTATCAAACTCTACTTTTGCCAATTCTTATTGGAGTCTGTCGAGGGGGGTACCATTATTAAGGAGGGCCAAGTGGAGCTGAGACCATACTTGGTTTGCAGCGGTAGTTGCGTCATCTTTATTTAAAGCAGCCGGAGGAATGTGATTTAGACCTTTTTTCATCATGTTCGGTAGTTCAGGATTGTTGCAGATGTTGAGGTCTAGTGTGATGACATGCGGGGGTTCTTCTTTAGGTAGCATATAACAGGTAAGGTGTTTAGAAACTCCTTATATCTTGGTTGTTGGCAGTAAGATCTTTCCGGGATTTGGCTTATCCATGTCGAAAGTTCAAAATCCCGAAATACTGCAGCAGGCTTATAGAGGGCCTTGGCAATATGATCGTTGTACGTCCATGCGAATGTGAATTTTTCTAGGATTTGGACAGCGTCCTGGTTATAGTTAAGTAAGATTTTACTAAAGATGTTCTTGAATTTGATACGATCCATTAGACGATTCGCATAGTGGCATGAGATGATCTGTTTGTCTGTTTCTTTTTTCGCTCTCCATCCGAGTCTTCCGTCTTCCATTTGCTGCAGTCAAGGCTCCTGCACATTGACAGACATATTGGTGATTTGAGAGGAGGTTATATGTTCAGCGACCATGGTGCATGCCATGCATCTGCAAAACCTGAGCAAGTCAATCCAGGGTGAAAAGAGGCTAGTTTTGCTAGTCTTTCTTTTATTTTTTATTTTTTATTTTTTTATTTTTTATTTTTTATCTTTAGCAGATGTGAGAGGTGGGGGTACGTTTGAGTTTTACCCTGTCATAGGGCGTGAGTCAGGTTAAGTGTGGGGGTTCATGTGAGTCTTAGGTAGGGACTATGGTACCTTCATCGGGATGATTAACAGGGCTGCAGTTTACTGATGAAACGTTTCCATATTAATTATGGTCATAGATTTCGGATTATGTGGTAAATATGCAGTGTATCTTATTTAGTATTTTTTGTGGGCCGGAAATATATGGGTATAATTTTTGCAGGTAAAAAGACATTGTTGGTTGTTCTAAGATACGGAGATTAGTTCATGAGGATATTTTGTGTTCGTATCTCCCATGCAAATCATCCTTTAGCACGGATTATAGGTTTCAGTGTTTTATCTTGCTAACCGTGTGTTTACTGCGCTTGTTTCCTCATAGAAGGATTGTTAGTACTATTAACAGGACAGCGGCCTTCTAAGGTGTTGCGGTAAATGTTTGTAATTGCGAGATTGGGGTATGTCTGTTTAACTAAACAGTTGCTTGTGTAGTGAAAGAAAGGAGGGGTCGTTTATGCAGGAAGTAACAAAAATACCATCATCAAATTCAGTCCAGAGAAAAAGGCCAGGGGTTTCTGACAACATTTTTCAGCAAACTTAGTCGGTTTGCTTTATTGGGCAAAGTAATAGTACTGCTCAGCATACATCTGTCTGAAGAACACCGGCCTAAGCATGCTTTATCCATCTATAGGCCAGGAACATAAAAAAAATGGAATATTAATCAATGTGTATTACCTTATAGGGAACCCAGCCTAAACCAGCATTAACTGTTTTAAGCCCATTATTCTATCGGTAAGCTAGCTTTTAATTATTCATAGATAAAAGACATGTGGTCTTCCGGAACGAACTTTGTCCTGTGCTTTGCTACTTAATCTTCTCAAGCTAACTTCTAGTAATGCTAGGAAAATTACCCGGGTAATTCGGGCTAAGTCTGCGGCAAACACGTTTCCAAGAACTGTCCGAAGCCTGCGATTCGTTCATCTGTGGCGAGCTTCCGCTGTTTGTTCGCAGCAGGGAGGAATCCGCACTGCTAGCACCGTAATTTGTTCGCAGAGCGTCAATCGCAGAGATTGGTCTGATCGGGGTGTCCGGGGATGGCGAACTGATTGTGATGGGGAGTTGCCTTCTCTCTCCGTCATCGATGTCGCAGCTGCTGACCTGGATTACTTCATGATCTGCTCCATTTCGTTGTTCCAAGGAAGGTAATGCCGCAGCTTTATCCCTCAGCGTCCATTGTGCTAGGACCATGTCTGCGCGAGGTGACCATGCCTGGTCAGTTCTTCTGAGAGTCGGAGAACTTGTTTGTGCCTGATGCGTTACTGTTCCAGATTCAACTTGAGCAGGTGGCTGGAGGTGAGCTGCAAACATCAGTTGTCGTTGCTGCTGTGTCGTGAAGGCCTCATGAATTTCTGGTTGTCTTGCGTCATACTGCACCTTTTTTCTCCTAGTCTGTTTTTTGCTTGCGTCTGCTCCTTGTGCCATTGGGATTCTCTGTGTTTTGTTACCTCTTCTCCGATTTCTTTTAACTTATGCAGGGAGGGGATTCATTGCAATACTCAGTAGTTCTCGTCTGTGAGCCTGTCTTTCGCTGTCCGTGCATGCCATGTTGCTATGGCTGTTCATATAAGCGGTCAGGTGCGAAGGGAGTGAAGTGGTGAACCCGGGTTGAGTGCTTACTCCAATGTGTGCTGTGTGTGCTACATTTGAGTCGTTCATGTGCAGTGCGTGGCTGGTTCCTTGTGTGTTGGTTTGCCCTGTTGCTGGTAGTGCGATGGCCGTTGCGTTTGGGATTGCAGTGATGCCAGCAGGCGTTGCGTTCATTTGTCGTGTGGCGAGCTGTGCAGCAGCGTTTGCAAGGGCATTAGCGGATGCCTGTACCTGAGCAAAGCCAACTGTCGTAGGCATGTTTGGAGCAGCAGTGATGGTAGCAGGGACGTGTCTATGTGGTGCAGTTATGGAGTTGCAGTTAGTATTGGAAATTGTGCGGTTTCTGGTGTCATACGTCTTGTTTAGTGTTGAACTTGCACCTGGGTTAGCGCCGGCGATTGCAGTGTTACGATCCGGTATGTTGGCTCCTGTGTTGTGTAGAGTTGTCGGGCTGCGTGTGTGCAGAGGAGCGGCATGTGCGGCGATTGCAGGCATGTGAGTTGCTGATGGCGTTCTTGTGTGGCTGGCCAGGCAGGGTGTGTTGCAGGTTGCAGGTGTACTGCCAGGTGTACTATTGGACGAACTTGTGCGTGTGTTATCGGTGTGCAGCGTGGTAGCGTGCGCTGTGGTTGCAGGCGTGTTAGTTGCAGACGACATTCTTGTGTGGTTTGCTAGGTGTGGTTTGCTAGGTATGGTGTGCTGCAGGTTGCAGGTGTGCAGCCTGGTGTGTTACTTGAGGGCCCAATTGGTGTGCTGCCGTTGTGTGACCGTAGTTCTGGCGTGCAGGCAGACATCTGGAAAGGTGTGGTGAGTGACGCATTTGTGGCGAGCGTACTACCAAGCCTCATTTGTCTGCATCTTCTCAGCGAATTATCTTCGGCTTCCACATTTCGCCGTGCGTTTGCTGTCTGTGCTAGTAACCCTTCGGCGCCGGGCAACAATGCAGCGGTGAACTTGTGCACAAAAACGGTACGTATCTGAAGTCTTCGTATTCCAGTACTTGTTCTGCAGATATCCTTCTGTTCTGTGTGAGGAGGTTCACGATCTTGATCATGTATTCCCTCATGAATATGAAGGAGATCTGCGCAAGAATCGCCTTTCTCCATGTCGTGCGCAGGAGTGCTTGGAACTCAGGCATCCTGATCTTGTCTGTTGGAGCAAGAGGGTCGATCTTGTCTAGGTTGCCAATGGTATACCATATCATATGGTCAAACCATGTGAAGCTCTTCTCGCATCCCGGGCAAGTGCACTTCAAATATGGTCTGCTCACGTTCCAAAGCTTCTTGAGTTCGGAGAGGTTTGCAGGGAACTTCGGGATGCCCTTTTGATGAAGGAGAGGTCTGTTTGCACATGTGCCTTTCTCGAGCCCCGCAATTGGTGGAAATTTCGCGTCCATACCTCCTCTGTTAGCTGGGAAGTAGATAGTACCATTCCTAGCAGCACTGCGGCAGTTTTCTATCTTTGGGTCAGTGATAGCTGCGAGCGCCATGTATGCCTCCACACTGATAGGCGTTGTGTAGTTGAAGGTGTCAAGCTTCCATAGTTGGTTATGGACACGTTGTACAGCCTTCTTTGTCCAGGAGCCAGATGCGAGTGGTAAGAAGGGGCTGTTCTTAGCAAACTTGTGTCTGGCGTCTCTCGTGAGCGGCGTGAGTTCAGTGTGTGAATAGCTCATTCGCTCAGCTTCCTTCTTCTTGAAGTATTCCAGATCTACTTGCGAGAGTGACATACGATTGATGTAAGTTTCGCTGAAGGTTTCTGCCCTTTCTGAGATGGAGACTTGTCCTGCGGAATCAAGATGTGAAGAGTCATATCCGTGCAGATCGAGGATGATCTTCTCGGCCTTAGCTACAATAAGGTTAAGCTCTCTATTCTCGATGGCAGCTTTTCTGCAAGAATCAGCAATATTGCTAGCAAAGTCTTGAATTTTGGCGTCAAGCTCCTGCGGTTTGCTTTGCGTGATGTGGACAAGCGAAGCCCAATCGCTGAAGGAGAGGTTCTCGATCAGGAATGGAGGTTGTCCCAGCGTTGCTTCATAGACTTGCAGTAGAACGTCTGCAGGGATCGCAAGCATGGCGATCTGGCAGTGCACTATAGGCGGCCGTAGTGCAGCGAATGGCCTGATGGCTGTAGCAAGCTCCAGGTGCCATCCCATGAGGATGCTGTCTTCATCCTGCACATGTATGGTTATATACTCACGGTTAGTTGCCTGTAGCTGCAATCATCGGCTTGCACATGCAGCAGGGGAGTCTTACATGCAACTATGATTGCTAATCTGGTTTAGATTCTGAGCAAGGTAATGGGGTCGGGTTCCTAGTATTAGGGACTTCTGAAGATGCGGCACGTGGATCGAGCGTGTTTGTTTACGCAGGGTACACTGAGTCAGGCAGGATTGGACACATTAATGTTAGCCTGTGCTAAGTGGTACGTCTAATATCGGATGTTAATATGGGTAGGTAGCATGTTGCAAAGGAGGCAGACCCACTGACTAAGTGGAGTGTTGGAAGCGTGGAGGCAACCTAGCGCAGAGTTGTGTGTCAGGGCAAAGACTGTCTTCTAAAAAATGAGGGTTATATTCGTTCATGGGGTGATTTTTAGAAGTCGGGGGGTTAAGCACGGTCACCATGTATTATTGTTTGTATTTTACCGTATACTTGCTAGAGTAATTTTTTTTTTTTTTTAATTTTAAATAACTTATTATTTATAGTCAAGTGTAGAAAAATTATACCGTATACTTGCTAGAGTGGTTAGATTAACCAAGATTGAGGGAATAACAAACGTTAGACGGGTGTAGAAAAAAAATTTAAATAGTCAGGGAAAAAAATTAATGAAATACGCATGCCGCAAAAAGCCTCATGCTTATGTCGTGAGCATAAAGGCCGCGTAGTCTATAGGTGGTATTGATTGCCTTCAATATAGGGCTTGCTACGCAGTTTGAAAAAAATGCCAATTGCATAGGGTATGTCAAGCACGGATCTCAAAAAAATGCGAGATTATGCAAGAATCTTTGCATGACTAAATTGTGCCTTCGTAGTCATACGTCGTTTGGTTTTACAATATTACGGATGAGGGTTCATCCGTAAACATTTTAGCCAATTTAACCTGAATAAAAGAGGTTGCGAGCATTAACTATGTATAGACAGCTATTGCTGATAGCCTTAGTACTTAATGTATCGTAATGATCTCAAGTTTGAGGCGATCCATGTACGGGTTAGGGAGGGGTAGAAGAAGAATGTGAAAGCCGCGGAACAGCTCGGATTTGTAATTGCAGGTGCACTGGTGCGTCAGTACGAAGGCGACAATTTTTTCAATTCAAGCACCGACAGAAAGGTATTTCGACCGAAGATCAATAGTAGCAACAGGAGAATAAAAGGTTGAAGCGTCAATTACGCATGGCATGCAAAAAGTAGAGGTGGAAATTGAAAGTGTCTATTGCAATATTTAAAGCGACATTAAACATAGAAAAATCATCATTTCACGAATTTGACATAGCAACATGCATGCGCGCAACGAAAATGGGTGTGACAGTCTTTTCTATTTTTATTCCTGTTTCGAAGCCTTCTGTCGCATCTTCTTTTTTAAGGGAAAACAGGTCATATCGGTGTAGATGAATTATATAAATATATGTAGAAGTGAGAAATTATGTGATTGGTTAGACACATGATAGTAAATTCGTAGCACATATTGTAATAGTCAGCGGGGTGGGTAGTCTGTGTAATAAAGGTTTATCATTCTTATGAGACGGTGAGTCTTGTTCATCAATTCATACATATATGCGGTGCGCTTATTTACGATGATCAGTTGGTTGTATGATGTGGGGTGATGGTCGGGTGTGGTTTTATCTTTACAGTTGGGCGCCATCTGGTTAAGTTTTATATTCGGGGAATCGAGGAGGTAGGAAGTGGTTTAGGGTATCAAGGGACGAAAAAGCATCAAGATCATTTACTCGAGTTTTAGTTACGTTGTTTATTTATGAAAAAGAAGGCTTCGTATGAAATTATCTATGAAAAATACTGTTGAAGTGATGCTACATATTCATGGGATAATTATGTATCGAAATATAAACGTGCCGACTGGAAGATCACCTTAGTATTGGTGGTGCTTGTAGGAGGCGTGTATAAACGCATATGTGTATCTCCTTCGAAATAAGAGTACGTCCATGTATTGGCATATTTGTAGGTAGATCAAAACACTTACTGTATAATGAATGCGCGCATGCGTATAGATCTTATGTGGTAGTCCGCCATGCAGTAACTAAGGCCGATCATATGCAAGGCGCAGGCGGTGGGGGGGTGGTGGGAGGGGGTTAGGATTGGTTTCTAGGCATGGGAGTAGGGTGGTGGTGGTGTTAGGATAATGAACATGTTTATCGGTAGTGTTAAGGTGGGCACATAGGCATAGTCTAAAGAGGTGGGGATTCAACCCCAACCGGGGCATCAGGATCAACGATCCGGGCGAGTGTGTGGGGGGGTTTGTGTACAGAACACAGCCATCCCAATAATATGGGACAATAGATACCCATTCTGCCCAACAGATTAGTCCGATAGAGAGTTCATACAACTGGGGGGCAATTATTTGATGGGAGCAGTTAGGATTAGTGTTAGTAGGTTAGCARRTGTTAGGAGAGGGTCAGAAGACCYAACCATAGGGGGGGTGCACGCCCTTAAGCGCGCTTTTCGCCGCCTAGCACCCATAGCAGCTCATCAGAGGGGTTAGCTTAGTAACAGCTTGCTCCTGTTAGGAAGAGRAGGGCARGTAGGGGCAGTGTGGGGTATGGAAGGTATGGAAATAGAGAGTTTTGCCTGTGTCGTCATTGCCGGTATCGCCGAGTTGTCAGCARCCGCCATAGTAGGTCMTGAASCCTTAGCAGCGAAGAACGTGTTACACCCGGYGCTCGTACAGCATGTGYTGTGCTGTACTACGTTCGRCCGATCACAGGTACCCAGTGTATTCTCGGCCGATTGTTTCGGCGAGAGAGCCCTGGGGGACCAGTGTTACGTGGCAAAAAGGTGTTGAAGTGTGTGCTTAGCCTTGATAGAGGTGCAGCACGACCAATCATGCAGTTGCATAGATGCGCAATCGAAWGAAGGGGAGAATGCTAGTGCAGGTGGCRTTTGTATAGTATGGCGAGCCATGCTTAGCGCTGAAWGTAGCGGGGTTATGAAGGGTTGTGAGTACGRGYGAAATTTAGTACATGCAGACATGTGATGATGMTGTGTATGTTGGGGGGTGTAAGGTAGGGGTATATCTCGGATGGTTATCCGCAGTAGTAACTAGGGGTGGGTTTGTGATACAKRGGGATGTCCGCAGAAGCGGCCGTGTATGCGCAGTATGGTAAGCRTKTCTGCGACCGGGTGTTCTACTGTGTGAGGGTCTGTGTTGTATCAGCAGCATGCGGGGTTTTGTCTTTTCTTGTGACGTGCGAATCAGTCTTAGGACAGGTTAGCATTCGTTTGTTGTATTGCCTTGTYGCACGTGATCATGCATCGCTGTGTGTGTTTTTCTTGTTGTTGGCGGGAATTATCGGCTATGGAGGCACAAGGCGCCGTTGCTTTTCGTTTTGTCTCGAAGCGACGGACATTTGTTTTTTGTAAATCGTTCATGTCGTTACGTCGTCCCGTTTGTCGTTTGCGTGGTGGTAAGTARCGTGTTTCGTGAAGGTGTGTGTCTAATTTRTTTCGGTGTATTTGCTTTGGTGCATGTATTRMTGTTTTMRTAAACGGGCGTTCGTACCCATAACCGGACTGTGTTATGTGGCGGGTGTTGTGATAATTGTTGTCTGTGCTATACTGGTTAGCCAAGAGGAGTATCGGGTTTTAATTGGGGGTTATCATTAAGGTACATTGCGGGATGATAGGTATTTTTGCTTTAAGGGGGGTTATGAGTATATCGCTATTGGTTGTTACAAATTTTTACGGATGATTACTCGTAACAGGCTAAATAATAAAGATATGCTATTTAGCAGAAATCCTAACGTATAACATTTTTATTATATATTTGTATAAAAAAATATTTTTAATTTTTAATTTTCAATTTTTTAATTTTTATTTTATATTCTATATTTTATTATTTGATTTTATTTATTTATTATTTATTATTTTATTATTTTATTATTTTATTATTTTATTTATTATATATATATATATTTTTTTAAACCTTATTTTCTAGGCTACCAGAGTAGGCCGGGGTCACTTGCCCGGCCGGGCAAAAAAAAAAAAAAAAGTAATAATAATAAAAATATTTTTAATGTTTATTTTTTATTCCAAATTTGGTGAAGAATTTCGATGTGACCCTGAGGCAAAAGTTGTTCAGATTATTATTCTTTATGACATAGTTGTTTTTCGGATTTTTTTGATTTCTTTTTTTTTTTTTTTTTTTTGCTGGGACCTTCCCTGGTCCTTGCCCCGGGCGGCCCGGCTGGTAGCCTAGCTTATTTTATAATTTATTTTTTAATTTTTGTAAATTGCTAAACAGGATATTATATTATGTTTATTATTTTATTATTTTAATTAACTCATGATTTAATTAATTATTTATTTTATCATCTTTAAAAAATATATATATATTATAAATTAATGTTAATATATTATTTTAAATATGACCTTAATTTAACCCTTTTATGTATGTATGTAAAAGAGAAAAAAATTGTAAGTGTGTGTGTGTGTGTGTGTGTGTGTGTGTGTGTGTGTGTAGGTTGTGTGTGTGTGTGTGTGTGCTAGATTTTCACCACAACAGCCCATGTTCCACCCAGATGAGCAGATCCAAAATCGATGCAGCTTTACTTCGATTGCAGACAATGAAGCGCACGTGAGATGAGCCATTCCCCATAATGAACCAGTTTTACCTCTATAGCAAGCAACAAGGAGCAGAATAGATCCGTTGTACCGCTTTCTTGACTCTCTTTACTTAGGCTTTATTTGGGGTGACCCCTCTATTTGTTCTTGCGGTTCCCATTGTACTGTGCCTCCCACGTACAAGGCTGGCCACTTTGATTGT